CTCCCTAAGTACTTATACCCATCTCCCATGACAAAACTCATCCTCACCCTCATTTTCCAGCACGCTCCCCAGGGATATATATCAATACTCATCAGTGTGACCTCTGCTGCACTCTGCAGAAACAAGGGAGGGAGAAACTACACAATAGAAGTCAAAACTATGGGGGTAAGGGGAGAAAAGCAGAGTAAAGATGATTTGTACCTTCTGTAACTTGTCTCAGTATGTCAGAAGACAAGCAGAAAATCTCCCTGCTGTCGCATCAATTCTCAAACCAATATTCACAACACAGACATACCACCTGCATCTTCCCACATGCTTCCTCTGCACCACAAGTTACGTGTGCCCTTGAGCTGCTGCATACTTCAGGAGCGGCAGCAAAAAAGGGACATAAGGGATTGTGCCTGTAACATAGTTGTTGAGGAAGAAAAGAGAGGAAAGGGAGGAACTGAATAACACTGCATAGCGCAGAACTGAAGATGCAGGAGACAAAACTGACTGGAAGCCTTCGATTCCACAGTGCCATTCCTCTTTCATCATACTGGGAACAGCAGGGGGACTGATTGGGGATGCTGAAGTCCAGCTTCAAGCTACAGATTCAAATATGTGATGCAGGCTCTCCCTCACAGGAATCTGACATTCATGGAGGTGTCAGCTGGAACCAACACCACCTGATGATGGGGATACCTCCGCAGATAGAGCCTATTCCAAAACATGACTGGCCTTTCAGGTCCCTCCTCACTCCCATCCCCTCACACTTCCTGCTATAGAATATACCCAGTCTAACTGTCCTGTCACAGACCACAGAATGGCACGGATTAGAAGGGACCTTCAGAGACCATCTAGTCCAACCCCCCTGCCAAACCAGGTTCACCCAGAGCAGGCTGGACAGGAATGCATCCAGGTGGGTTTTGAGTATCTCCAGTGAAGGAGACTCCACCACCTCTCCAGGCAGCCTGTTCCACTGCTCTGGCACTCTCACAGTAAAGAAATTTTGCCTCATGTTCAGATGGAATTTCCTGTGTGCCCGTTGCCCCTCGTCCTGTCAGCAGGCACCACTGAAAAGAGCCTGGCCCCATCCTCTTGATACCTGACCTACTTCTCAAACACATAACTGTTTAAATTCTTCTTCCACATCATCCCTCCCATTGCCATACCACTGTGTATAGGACAGTAACACCATACGGTGACTGCTAGTAGCAGCCCATAAGCTCTGTACTGCATTAGAAAGGCCTTAGGACTGAAACCTGTCAGGCTCACTTTGGCTGAACTTTTCTTGACCTGCCTGCAACTTTTACTTGATTTAGCTGTGACAGCAATTTCTCCAACTGACCAGGTGCCCACGCCTAATTGGTTCTACTTTCGTTTACCCGGGCATGCTGCAACCCTAGCTTCATACAGATAGCAGTAACAAGCAGTTATTCTGTATAGAATGAGATATTCAGAACTCTACAACAATGATGCAGTGTAGAGAAACACAGGCCTGGGATGACAGCAGAGGCCTTGAGAAGTGGAGACACAGGGTCCAGCAGAGGAGTGCAGGCATGGGATGAACAGAGATGGCTTCTACAGGACTCAGCACTGGATGCCCAGCAACTCACCAGCAGTCAGGTCAGGTAAGAGGAATGCAGACCTGGACAAAACTGGTTTTTTTTTAGGCAAACAAACAAGAAAGAAATACTATCTAATATGTAGCACCTCCTACACATTTGGATGTAACAAGGAGCTGCAAACCAGTGAAGAGGAAAGGCATATAAGCACATTAGCAAGCATATAAAAATACTCTCAAGTGGATCCTAGAGAGACGAAGATGAAACCATTAACCTAACAATCATATTGCTCCTTGTAAAGGACACCAGATGCTGATAACTCACCAGAACAGCTCATCACCACCAGGATGAAGCCACTGACCTTAGGACTCAGAGCAGCAGTAAGAGGGTAAGAGTAACTAATTTAGCTGCATTATTGCTCTTTTTTTTTGTAACAATTAGATCTTTATTAATAATCAGTAGGCTCGTAAGATTTCAGTTATTCTAAAAATAAATTACTGGCCTTCCTTTTAAGGTGCGTTTCCATTTTTTAGCCATAAATGAGATTTTGCACATAGCATTCAACAGAGGCCCATGCTCAGGAATTTACAGACGACAGAAATACATACAGCAATAAAAAAAAAGAAAACAAGGTATCCAGTAGGCACCACGACTTTCAAAGCGTCCCCTGCACACCTGTCACTGGAAGGGCTTCAGTACTCAAAGGCTTCTCTGTGATTCTGGGATCTACCATACCAGGTACAAAGATGAGCACTAGGCCTTCTTTCCTTTAGAGTACAAAGATCCAACCCTTCTTTCTCAAATCACACTTGACTCATCTCCTTGACAGAGCTGCTCCAAAGATATACCTGTGAAACACAGCCCATGAAACAAGCTGATAACAACAGACACTACAAAGCAGCATACATGGTGTGGCAAAAGGTGAGAAGAGAAACAGTCAGATGAGCAAAATGCCTCAGTAGCAAAAAAACTCACTACCCAGAAAGGGCCGGAGAAACTAAAACAGTTTACGTCCTAACCTGGTAAAGAGTAATAACCTTAAGTCATTAATATAAGCATCTTAACGCAATACACATCTAGATAGTAAGAAATGCTTAGAGAGAAAATAATATTTTGTGAAAAAGCCTTCATAAGGACTACTTTCCTAAGAGAAACACTTAATGACTCAAAAAGGATGTAGCATATGAGCACATGAGCAGCCTAGGTAAGGAAAAAAAGTTGTCGTTTCTAGTTCATGCACATTTAAAGATATCAGCTTTCATTTAACTCCTCATCAGTATTAACAACTACAAACTTCCCAAATTGATTGTATCTTTGTTTTGATTATTTTTAGTGACAACTAACAATATCCACTCTCCTGCTAGTGTATGGATGACATTACTCTAGTCGGTGTTCCATATGGTTAACATAGCTGCCATTACAAGAATCTCTTACACAGAAAAAAAAGTTCACAGATGGGGCAGTATAAAAGACGATACGCACCCAGCCACAGCAGTGAGCCTCTTAGCCTCCAATCGCTAAAATAGCTAACATCTGCATTTATTACACATATGTAAATCACTAAATTATAGCATGATCTATATCATTCTCCACCATTAAAAGAAATATATATCTATATATATATCCCAAAACCACTTCGGGTGCTGCAACTGAACTAAGCAGCTATTTTCAGCTGACAATCGAGATCCGAGCCCACAGCCAGCGGCCGCCTGTCACTGCCCGTTCCCGGACAACCTCCCCGCGAGCCCAGGCCAGGCTGAGGGAAACGCTTTTCAGAGGGAGCGCGGCGGCGGCGGCAGCAACGCTGCCACTCCAGGGCCCATGGCTAAGTTTCCCCTGCCGCCGCCGGCCTCGGGGACCTCCGGCCTCCCCCGGGACACCCAGCCACCTCCCGCCGCCGCCTCCTCGGGCCTCCGCCGCCTGCCGGGCCCGCACACGCAGCCGGCGCCGTTGTCCCGGGAGAGAAGCACGACCGGGCCTTCCGTCCCACCACCGCCGCCCGGCCAAGGGCCGCCGAGCCGGGCCCAGCGAGCCCCGCCTGCCCGCCACCTCCGACGAGGCCGCGATGCCCCGGCAAGGCCTGACTCAGCGCCGCCGCACCGGCACTCGCCGCTGCTGTCAGCGGTCCCGGGGAGGGTGTGCAAGGAGACGGGAGGAGGCGGGCTATTTTACCGCCGCTTTTACCTGTCCTCGCTCTTGTTCTTCTGCTTCTTGCCCATGGCGGCGGCCCCGGCGTTCGTCCCCCGCTACAGCGCTGCCCGCGCGCAGCCCCGCGCATATGGCAAAGCCACCCCCGCCGCCCGCCCGGCCCCGCC